CCCCCCCCCCCCCCCCCCCCCCCCCCCCCCCCCCCCCCCCCCCCCCGTCTGTAAGAATTAAAGGACGTACAATACACCAGTTTTGTGTAGACGAGTTCATAATGAAATGTTCGGCATTTCATAATTTGGACCAAATAAATTATTGAACGTGTACATGCTAACACGTTGAATTCTAAAACCCATTACCCATAAACTTAAAGTGAAATATTTTATAAGACTTCAAATAATTTGAAATAACTTAAAGGGAAAATACAACATTTGCAAACATCAAAAAATAAAACTACCAAATCATTTTGAAATACCTTGCTGGACTGTTAGTGAATGACAGTGTAAAGCATCCTGTAAAATCATGGCACCTGGTATACTGTCATTTTCAAGAAAAGTGCTATGTTTGTATCAATTTCCAACGCTGATCGGCCGATCAGCGTTGGAAAAACTGGCTTTTTTTCAAATACTGGCCCCAATTGACCATTGCACTTGTTTGCAATCGATTACACACACTATGAACGGGTACAAGCCAGCTAGACTGGTTCCCTGACCTTACAATTCCCCAATGTATGTAAACTGCTCTGTTACTTCTTCAATGGAGTCAGGGAACCAGACTACTGGAAAATGATTGTTTTTCTTGGTTTTTATAGCATTTTTGAACCCAATCCTAAAAAAAGTCAGTTTAACTGTATTTGCTATATATTCCAACCCCCTAATTCCATCCATTTCTGAAAATTACAGCAAAAGCAAATGATGTATATTCCCTTTAAGAATAATTGGAGATGTTTAAACCATTGAAAAAGTCACTGAATCCGAATTAAATTACAACACAAAATATATGATATAACAAAATATTATCAAGAAATTTCGATATTCATTCGTTTATACATTAACCTGAACATTAATTATTTCAACCATAAGAAATACATTTCAACATTCACGATTCGAAGCCCTTATCTTCAAAACAAAAGACATGAATATCGTATTTGTTATACCATTAGTATGGCTCCCTTGCATGGATTGCACTTCCTCCAATGGAGGAACGTCGGGGTGCTTTGTGACTGCATTTTCCAACCTCATACAAAAGCTGCTCTATTTCGGATACTTCTAAGTACATTTTTCATCTTTACGGTTTTACTGAATCAACTTTTTATGCCCCGCGGCGAAGCCGAAGGGGCATACTGTTTCCGCCTCGTCCTTCCGTGGGTGGGTGGGTGGGTGTGTGTGTGGGTGGGTGGGTGGGTGGGTGGGTGTGTGTGTCCGGACAAATCTTGTCAGCGCGATAACTTGAGAAATACTTAACATATGAACTTCAAATTTGGTTTGTGGATTGTTCTTGCTAATCCTAAGAAGCCTTTTGCATTTGGGGCCAAAAGGCCAAAGGTCAAGTTCACACTGGCTAAAACAATAGAAATCTTGTCAGCGCGATAACTTGAGAAATACTTAACATATGAACTTCAAATTTGGTTTGTGGATTGTTCTTGCTAATCCTAAGAAGCCTTTTGCATTGGGGCCAAAAGGCCAAAGGTCAAGTTCACACTGGCTAAAACAATAGAAATCTTGTCAGCGCGATAACTTGAGAAATACTTAACATATGAACTTCAAATTTGGTTTGTGGATTGTTCTTGCTAATCCTAAGAAGCCTTTTGCATTTGGGGCCAAAAGGCCAAAGGTCAAGTTCACACTGGCTAAAACAATAGAAATCTTGTCAGCGCGATAACTTGAGAAATACTTTACATGTGAACTTCAAATTTGGTTTGTGGATTGTTCTTGGCAATCCTAAGAAGCCTATTGCATTTGGGGCCAAAAGGTCAAGGGTCAAGTTCACAGTGGCTAAAACAATAGAAATCTTGTCAGCGCGATAACTTGAGAAATACTTTACATGTGAACTTCAAATTGGTTTGTGGATTGTTCTTGGTAATCCTAAGATACCTATTGAATTTGGGGCCAAAAGGTCAAAGGTCAAGTTCACAGTGGCTAAAACAATAGAAATCATGTATTTATTCTGAGATTATAGGGATTAGGGATTTATTCATATAAAACCTACAGAAGACACTAATGCTGTCAATGAATGTTCCATGTGACCAAGGTACATGTAAGTTGATGTTAAAAGAGTGGTGTTTTGTCATGGGAACTGTCATCGTTGCGGGGCATTTGTGTTTGTAAACACACCTGACTTGTTTTTATAAAGCTTTTAATGTTCCGATAATTTTTTTAAAAATAAATCATTTGCTTCATATATCATACAGTTTAATACTTCTGTAAAAAAACATTGACTAATTTTAACCTGGAATCTTCAAAGTTGGACACCCAAACAGCACTGTTAGCAGGCGGAGCCGAATTGAGACCACGCCGCGTTTTGGAAAATGCCGGTAACGGTCGTCAAATTCAAACTAGTGCATGACGCAGCAAAAAGTTCGCCCCTCGTATACGATCCGAGTGCAAAATCGTCGTTGAATTTCAAGTTTTGTAAATAAAAGCAATGGATATTAACTATCAATTTTTTTTTTTTTAAGTTTTTAATAAGCAATTAGCAGTTAATAAAACATATATTATACTCGGAAATACTCTGACACTATCCGATTGTCGACGAAACGTTTTTTTTTAGTTTTTAATAAGCAATTAGCAGTTAATAAAACATATATTATACTCGGAAATACTCTGACACTATCCGATTGTCGACGAAATGAATTCGGCAAACTTCGGACAGTTTCGGAAAAAGGAGGAATTCCTCCCATTTTAGTCACGTGATGTAAATTGTAATACATTGTATTACTGGAGTCTACCTGACCTAAGATTCATCAGGAATAGTCGGAATCGTTTGGTCTGGGAACCAGACTACGCAAAACGATGATCAACAAAATGTAGTGGAACAAAACGGAGCATTTAATATCGCTTTTTAGGCCCTAATTGATCGTGGACTAATGCTGGCTCTGAAAAGCCAACCACAAATTTGATTGAGGAAATAAAATAATTGGAAATCACAAGTTCATGGGGAATATTTCGTTTCCTTTACAGTGTTCCATTTTCGTGTATGTTCAGCCATGATAGCCTGGCCATAGAGAGGTCTGTTTACTCATGGGCTGGCGTGATGTGGTTCAAAATAGCAGCCAAAAAAGTTAGGGAAACTACCCTCGATGAGCAATAGGCATACAAGTTGGCAATATTTATGACGAACAAAAGCCCAAGTTCACGTAATCATAAAGTGGGTTCATCCCCAGGGCAACGGCATTGATATTATAATTAAAGGTTGAACCCGGCAGACCCAGACGGCACAAACACCTGATTTATTTAAGTGACGTCACGATGACGTCATTACATGACATGTGACGTCACAATATAGGTGCATATTTTGAAGGCCTATATCTCCATGACTACAGGTCCGATTGGGTTGAAACTTGGTATGTACCTAAACCGGGATGTGTTGTAGATGCAAATTTAAGTGACGTTACGATGACGTCATCACGTGATGTGACGTCGTCACGTGACATGTGACGTCATATTAAAAATTGCATATTTTGAGGCCAATATCTACAGAACTACAGGTCTGATTGGCTTGAAACTTGGTATGTACTTAAACCGGAATGTATAATATATGAAAATTGAAGTGACGTCACGATGACATCATCACGTGACATGTGACGTCATACTAAACGTGCATATTTCGAAGGCCAATATCTACAGAACCACTGGTCAGATTGGATTGAAAGTTGGTATGTACCTAAACCGGGATGTGTTATAGATGAAAATTGAAGTGACGTCATGATGACGTCATCATGGGTTACGTGACGTCTCGTTAAAGATTAATAGATTTAATCTTTAAAAATCAGTATAAAATCAACCGTGAGAGACCTGAACATCCTTCGTTGATGGAACACATGTCACATGTCACAAAAAGCTACCGAAACAGCCCTATGTTTGTCCACAAACATATGTCTAGTTCTTTTTTCTTTTTTTCTTATTTTTTTTTTCTTTTTCAGTCATTTTGCCCATAGCATTTGTACACGTTTTTTTGTTACCGACACTTTGGGCACTAAAATCAATCCGATTGACTTTATACTTGGCACACACTTAGACCAGCATCTGAAGTTGTGTGCTGAACATTGACATCATCGTGACGTCATCATGAGTCTCGTGACGTCACATTATGTGCGATTTTTCTATTGTGACCGTTTTCTAGCAGAATTCGGCTAGATCTGACAGATTGGGCCATATTTCCAGAACTACAGGTCCGATTGGGTTGAAACTTAGTATGTACCTAAACCTGGATGTGTTATAGATGAAAATTTAAGTGACGTCACGATGACTTCATCACGTGACATGTGACGTCACAATATAGGTGCATATTTTGAAGGCCTATATCTCCATGACTACAGGTCCGATTGGGTTGAAACTTGGTATGTACCTAAACCGGGATGTGTTGTAGATGAAAATTTAAGTGACATTACGATGACGTCATCACGTGACATGTGACGTCATATTAAAAATTGCA